TAATGAACCCATTGGAAAATTAAGATTGAGTTCTAACACCATTCAAAGGAAAAACAAAATAAAAAACGGTGTTAAAGGTATTTTATATATTTGAAGGAACTTGACTTTGAAAATGCACAAAACTCACACTTAGACTAGCAGTGTTAAGCCCGAGATGTTCCAGAAAGCAGGCTCCAGGATTTGTTTGTTGTTTGTTTGTTTGTTTTTTCTTAGTGGAATGTTTGAATTTTATTTTATTTTTTTCCCTTACCATGAGAACTTTATTTTTTTTAATTTAAATTTTATTTTTTATATTCCCCATACAATTACAACCCCCCTTATTTTGACCCCAATCCCTTCTTTCCCCCTCCCCACCCCCTATAGAGCGTCTCTGGTTCATAGTCGTTTGTCGATTTTGATATTTTCTTTCTTGTAGTTATTCTTTTTCCTGGTCCCTTATTTAGGTTTTCTAGATTCCTGCTATGAGTGAGACCATCTGGTATTTTTCTTTTTCTTTCTGGCTTATTTCGCTGAGCATGATCCCTTCCAGCCATCCATGTTGCTGCAAATTGCATGTGTTTATCTTTTTTGAATGCTGAGTAATATTCCATGGTGTATATGTACCACATCTTCTTGATCCAGTCATCTGTTTTTGGGCATTTGGGTTGTTTCCTGTTGTTGTTTTTTTTTTAAAGATTTGAATGATGTAAATAAAATTATATGAACACACACAAACTATATTCCCTTTCAGACAGTGTGTTTTTAATGACATCTAGATTAATTAAAAGGCTAATAGGCTAAAGATAAGGAGAAATAACTGAAATTTTTGCCCTACTTTCCCTTTCCCATGTGTCTCCATTATCTCCTTTATTCCCATCCCTCTTCATATGGACCCAAGTCAACCTCTTGTTGATTCTGATTGAATTCAGTCTTTTCAAGTCGCTAGGTCTTTAACTATTTGCATGGTTCTTCTTTGTTTGTAGTCATGTCTCATCATGTGACATTTTTTTTTTCTCCATGTGAGCAGTGCTGGAGTATAATATGTGACAGATGGAAAATAAATTTGGAGAATGTGAACCAGTGATGACATGTAGACTCAATCATTAGACTTATCCTTATAAAAACTAATGCTATGTCACTGATCATTTGGCACAACAGACAAGTGACAGAACAAATTCCAGTATAAAGCAGGAATAGATCTGCATAGTGTCATGGCCAAAGATAAAAACAAGACTTTCTTGGCCTTAATAGATGAGTATCACTGACAAATTGTCCTAGAATTTCTGATTTAGCAATAATCATTGGCTTTGTGCTATAACAACAAATTATAGCACCCATAAATACAATAGGTGGGAAACTAGTCAACTGCAATTAAAGAGATGGTTAGTGAATCACAATATGTAGAAGTGAATATGCAAAAGTGAGAGGAATGAATTGGTACTGCCATATACTCATTGATAGATGAAAATCACCCCATCCATTAAATAAACATAAACTTCAGAATCTTCTCTTTGTCACTTAACTGAATGCACATTTCCTATCATCATGTTCTAAAACTGCTGCTCTGGAATCTTTTACTACTCAGTAGGTAAATAATCTGAATATCTAGACTCCTCCTATGATTCCTCCCACCCCAGCAACCTGGTCTACAGCATTTGCCAACTAAACTCATCTCTCTAGTGTGATGGTCAAAATATCTGCTAGGATCCCTCCTGTGCCAGACATGCTGTGCATGAAGCTGTGACCACAGAGAAAGGAAGGGGAAAAATATCAATATTATGTATATATTTATATATGTATGTGTGTATGATATATACGTCCACGTATATATGATAAGTGAATGATTAAATAGATTTATTTATGGGATGTAGCAATGAGAATTGTGGCTACAAATGTGATGGTTATTGATCTAGTCACCCATCTACCATTTGTCACTGGTGTTTAAACTAAAATAAACCTGATTCCATCTTCTCCCATTCAAAATACTGGAAAAGTTGGAATAATCTGTAACTTGGACAACCTCAGATGATATTCTCTTACTATAATTATTTTATATATTCTATAAAATAATTTCATCATACTTGTATAATATAATGATGTCTAGCAAAGGTGGAACATTTCTAAGTAAGCTGAAAAAGGAAGATGGTTATCTTTAAAAAAAGTGATAATTGAACTGAAATTTAAATTCCTTACAAACACAATTGAATAAAATATGCAAAATTCTGAAAGAAAATAGATGGAATACTAGAATAATATGTAAGTGAAGTGCTTCAAAGTTGAAGAAAATTTCAGATAACAAAAAAATTAAGAGAATTTCTCATTTAGTGTGACACTAAATTACATACTAAAATTGTCTGCTTGTGAGAAGGAAAATATATTTACCTGCCCATCGGAAATGTTTGACATTAAGACACTAAAGGTTTTGGGCCTCCCCGGTGGCGCAGCGGTTGAGCACTGGGTTGCGAAGCTGCCCGCGGCCTCTGTGACGCCGGTTCGATCCCCAGCTGCTCCCCGGCCACCGGAGGAGGGTCCCACATGGCGTGCAGACCTCTCCTGCCGCCCGCTGCTCCCCTCAGCATTGTACTTCGGTCCTTCTGCCTGCTCTGCTCCCCGCTCTGGCTCTGGTGAATTCTCTCACCCTCCCGTGCTTCTGACTGTACCCAGTGCATGTATAAACAAACAAACAAACAAATAAATAAAACATGCCTCTATTAAAAAAAAAAGACACTATAGGTTTTATTCCATTCTTAAGAATGCTACCATTTTTTTTTGGTCATAGTAACCATTCCCCATGGACATATTTCCCATTTCGGGGATACAAATAGGTTTTATTCTATATTAGGAAACTATAATAAAAATATTTCTAGACAGCAAATAGACAAGATATTTTCTGATGCATCAGTCTTACTATTCCAAGTTACAGCTTTTGAGTGCCTGGTTCCTCATTAAGATGATTAATCAAAGTTGAATCCAGTGCCTGGTAAGTAACAAGTTGAACAGCAACTTTCATAAGATAATTAGTTTGGTGGCAAAAGTAGGTTCTAAAATATGCAATGAATATCTGTTTGTTCTGCACACTACAGATTTGGAAAAATTTAGAAAACACAGGTCATCCACAAATACGTATTTTCAAGCCATTTCTTTCTCAGTTCAGAATCAACATAGATAAATAATTCTTTCCAAAAAATATAGATGTCCACTGTTTTAATATAATATGTGGTTGCATCTAGTATATAGTCTGAGAGATAGTAAAGATTCATTAAAATTGTATTTTTTGCATCAATGTAATTCACATCAACAAAGGAGAGTATAAAAATCATATGGCAGTATTAATAGATGAAGAAAAAACATTTGACATGATTAAACATACATTAATGATAAATATCCTAAAAATAGGGATAGAGGATAAATAACTTAACATACTAAATCCAATATATAACTAACATCATTGCTAACATCATTCTCAATGGTGAAAAATTGAAGAGCTTTTCCTCTAAGATCATGGATAAGACAAGGATGTCCACTTTCACCATTATTATTGAACATAATACTGGAAGGCCTAGGTAAAACACTTAGGCAAGAGAAAGATATGAAAGTAATCCAAATTGAGAAAGAAGAAATAAAACTATCATAATTTGCAAAGGACATGATAATAAACATAGAAAGGCCTAAAGATTCTGCTGAAAATGAATTAAAACAAGTTCCAGTGGCATTCTTCAATAAATAGATTAATCACTACTGAAATGCATGTGGAACCACAATATTCAAATAGAATGAAAAAGCTCTTCTGGGCCTCCCTTGTGGTGCAAGCGGTTAAGGTACAACCTATGAAGCTATCCTCACCCACTGCAGCATGAGTTCAATCCCTGGCCAGGGAACTACACACATGGCGCAGCAGATCTCTCCTGACTCGCCCGCTGCTCCCCCCAGCAGTGTATTTCAGTCAATCTGCCTGTTCTGTTCCCCACTCTGTCTCTGGTGAATCCTCTCACCCTCCCACACATCTGACCTGTACTTCGGTTCTTGTATAAATAAATAAACAATTCTTTAAAAAAAAAGAGTATGCACTGGGGAAAAAGTGAATCAAAATTAAGTAAAATAATTGGCTGTAACACCTGAAAATATAAAATACATAGAAGAAAACATGCAAAACACTCTACAACGTTGGCTTCAGTGATATATTTGATTATTTGTCACCAATGGCAAGAAAACAAGAGAATATAAACAAATGGAACTTCATAAAATTAAAATGCTTCTGTGAAGTGAAAGAAACACACTAAAACCAAAAGTCACCCTACTGAATGGGAGAATATATTTGCCCATCATACATCTAACAAGGGGCTTGGCAGCCAATATCTATAAAGGATTCATACAATGCAAGAAAAAGAAATCAAATTACTCAATCAAAAATAGGCAGAATTTACTCTTCCATATCTTGCTTCTAAATGTCCGTCCATGGTTCTCTCTGGTCCTAATTTTTTTTTTTTCTTTTTCATTAAGATTTAATTTAATACTTGGAGAATAATTTTGGAATATATAGTTAATGATCATACTGGATTCAAATTTTAAAAGCTTTTTTTTTTTTTGGCAAACCAAAAGCTATGCCTTTAACTAAATAAAATAAAAGTGATGTTATTTCAGTATCTACCCTTAAAAGGAAGTGATACCTCTGAAAAGCCAGAATCAGATATATACATGCAGTGAATACCAGGAAGAAAAATAAGGGCGTTCCAGGGGATGATGGGACATTCATTAATGCAAAGCTGTCATAACAATTCTGACATAAGAGAACTTCATTGGCTTTGTGTTACAACAAAAAATATAGCACCCATAAATACAATATGTAGGAAACTATGCAATTAAAAAAAGATAATTAAGCTAATAATATGCAAATGAATGAATCCAAATGAAGGAATGATGCTCTAGTAGATTTCAACACCTGTTTCTAGCAGTATATAAGTGCCACAGTCCAGGAGGTTGACATAAAACTCAGAATCTTCTCTCTGTACTCAACTGAACTCACATCTCCTGTCAACATGCCCTACAACTGTTGCTCTGGAAACTTCTCCTCCCGCTCCTGCGGAGGCTACGTGAGCTACCCAGTCTCCTCCTGTCGCTCTTCCTACCCCAGCAACCTGGTCTACACCACTGACCTCTGCTCTCCCAGCACCTACCAGATCTCCACTGGCTGCCAGGAGACCTGCTGTGAGCCCTCCAGCTGCCAGACGTCCTGCGTGGTGTCCAGCCCCTGCGTGACGTCCTGCTCCCGCCCCAGGATCTCCGTGCCCTGCAGTCCCTGCCAGACCACTTACACCAGGTCTCTGGGCTGCAGGTCCAACAGCAGCTGCTCCCTGCGCTGTGCACCCAGAAGCTATTACTCCCTGGGCTGTGCACCCAGAAGCTATTATTCCCTGGGCTGTGGACCCAGAAGTTTTTACTCGCCATTCTTTGGCTCCTATGGCTTCAGATCCCTGGGTTATGGGGATTGTGGCTTTCCTTCCCTGAGCTATGGGTCTAGCTTCTACTATCCAAGCTACTTTGCCTCCAGAAGCTGCCAGTCATCGTGGTACAAGCCCACCTGTGGATCCAGCTTCTACCAGTCAACTTGCTAAGATTCCAGATTGCTTTGGCTGTTATGGTTCAGTCTCTATTGGCACAGCCACCTTTGTCATTCCCACAAATTACTGCCTTTACTCTTAAATCATCTATTTCTTGATTACCAACTTTTAGAAGACTCTGAAATAAATGTGTAACCCAAAGTTAAGTTTCAATATCTGTAGTATTGACATAGTGTATGCTATTGGAATTTCATTGACGATCACTGGAAAATGAAAATTTTAATTAATAAATTCATGTAATCTGGCATTCAAATACAGTGTTCATCTTCTTATTTTCGCTCTTTCTATGAACCCAGAAGCTTCCACTCATGCGACTATAGATCCTATGACTTCAGAGTCCTGGGTTATGGGGATTTGGTTTTCCTTCCCTGAGCTATGGGTCTAGATTCTCCTATTCAATCTAACTTGCCTCCAGAAGTTGCCAGTCATCATGTTACAAGCCAGCCTATAGTCCAGCTTCTATCAATTACTTGCTAAGATTCTTCATCACTTTGTCTATTATGGCCACAGTCACTATTGGCACAGCCACCATTGTTATTCCCACAAATTACTCCCATTCTTTTATTCTTAAATCATAGATATATCTTGATTATCAACTTTTGGAAGATTCTAAATGGGTAACCCAACATTACGTTTCAATATCTATAGTATTGATATAGTATATGCCAATTGGATTTTCACTTAAGATCACTGGAAAATGAAAATTTTAATTACATAAATTTATGTAATCTGACCCTCAAAGACTGAGCTACCTAGTCTGCTTCTGTGGCTCTTCCTACCCCGGCATTCTGGTCTCCAGCACTGACCTGTCCTTTCTCAGTAGCTGGCAGCTGGACTCCTCTCTCTCCAGTGGCTGCCAGGGAACCTGCTGTGAGCCCTCCAGCTGCCAGATGCCCTGTGTGGTATCCAACTCCTGCCAAATGTTTTCTTCCTGCCCCAGCCCCCCGTGCTCTACAATCCGTGCCAGATGACTTACATGGGTCTCTTGGCTACAGATCCTGAAGCTGCTCCTCACTGGATTCTGGATCCCGTGTATTCAGATCCCTTACTTTTGGGCTGTATGTCTCTCTTACCCTGATCTATGGATCAAGATTTTGTTGCCCAATGCTTTGGTATTCAGAATCTCCAGACCTCTGACTACCAACATATCTGGGAATCTGTCTTCAACAGATTAACTTGTTGAGTATTCAGACTGTTCTATAGTGGCATCAGTTTTATTTTCACAAGCAAAAACTCTCTCCAAGCTCTCCAGTGTCTATTGTTTAAGTAATCTGTAAACCTAACTTCACAGCTTAGTTATAGTTGAGTTCTAGTAGAATGTAAAACTAAGCAACAAACCTAATATTTAAATTAAATAGCTGCATTGGTGATGGAAATCATTCATTTTTTTAGATATCCTTCACAAGTAAGGAGATACCTTAAAGAAGTAAACATTTAATCTGACATCCATGTGATGTTGTTACTATTATTTGTTATGTTTATTTATCAGAAATTTCTTTTACCATCTCATATATACTTATATATGTAATCTCATATATATACTCTATCATATACTCATATATCATATAATGAGATATATAATAATCATATATACAGAGACCATGATTTTGGAGGTCTACAAGTGAAGTATAAATATATATACATATTCAGGTGTGAAGTTATAATCCTGAAAATTAAATAGTTTTATAAATGATTCATAAAACATTACTATTAGATTAAAAAATAGAAAGTTAAAGATTTAAAAGAAAAACAGAAAAAATATTTGACAAAACAGAAGTAAGGATAAGTGCATGTAAAGATGGATACATATATGTACATAAGAGTAAAGTATTACTATGCATAGAGAATGGAACATTATGTCTAGAAATGTGTGCATGTATATGTATGTATTTGTATGTACATAATATGTATAATATATAAACATCTATATGAATGATTAATTCGCTAAGAAAGCAAACTTCGGAATCTTAGTGGTTGGAGGTTCTGAAATAAAATGTTGGTGTTTGGATTTTAGTTTTTGTCTTTTTACATAAGTTTGATATAAATTGAATCTAAAAAGTTATGAAAACTTAAATCTTTCATTCATGTGCATTCTTTCATCTCTCTTTAAAAGAGAAGAAAAGCAAAAAATGTTGGGCGATATAAGGAAGGCAAAGAAAACATAGTATTTAGGAACACTGTTAGATTTCTACATGAAATAATTAAATGTAATTATTGTATTTACATGTAAAATTAAATGTCAATCTAACCGTTGCTACATATTTCCAGAAATTACTAAAAACATGACTCAAATAACTTCCATTAAATTTCTGATGTTGGTGGTTAAAAGTGACTAAATTCCTGAATCCAGTGAGTACTTTCTCATGGAATTCATTTCCTTACAGCTTGTAAGGAGGAAGTCAATTATTCTCATTATAGTAATTCTTGGTTACGGATGTGTGGGTTTCTACCTCCATGTTCTGCAATGGTTTGTACTTTATATGGCAGAAACACAAGCGTTTATGTCAGCACAACAGGAGTTATTTTTATTTTATTTTTTATAAACATGTGCTAATCTTTTATTGGCTACATATGCCAGAAAACAATTAAGTGCTGTGTCAGACCCACTTGGTTAGGGAGACAAAGAAAATAGCATTATCTTTATGTTGAGCTAAGTGAATGTTCAAAGTGATTTTCAAGTCATTATTTCTTTAGAATCTTAAAAGCATTTGAAGGAAGATATATTTTACATGCGGCATTACATACCTTTCATTTAAACATTCCACAATGGCAACTCCAAGTTAAGACCTGGCCAAGGATCCCAGTTTCACAGAAAATCCATGTTCACAATTTCATTTAGTATATCTGATTTGTGCCATCTGAAAAGCATAAAAGTACGTAGAGAACTAGCACATTTGTGTAAAGTTTAGGAAAGAATGCCTTTGACTTTCAGTAGCTATAGTTGAAGTCCCCCCACTTTGGTTGACAAAAGTGTCTCAATTTTGCATTCTTGTACTCAGTTTCCAGTCTGACTCATTTTTCTGAGTGTGTGTAAGGAGGTTATCTCTGAACCTAAGTGATAAAGGTCTAGGTTTAGAAGTCACGGCTTCCATCTTGGTGCTGCCCCAAGGCACAAACTCAATATAGCTGGAGATAGACTCCTAGAGGGTTCCTGTATCTTCCATTGGATACTCTGATTTTTTGTTATTTTCTAAGCTCTTCAAAAATTGGATTTCAGGAAATAGTAAGTTGCTAAAAACATGGGTTATTATAAATGAGTTAAATGTAAAAACAAAAAATGATATATTAGTGTAGAGCAAAGTCATCATTCAAAAAATTCACAGTGCATTAGTTCATTATGTCCTCAGGCAATCCTGTGAGCAATTTTCTCATTATACGTTGAAGTCCTTTAGCACATGTGAAAATAGGACTTGAAGGCAATCACAATTTGCCAAAGGTGCCATTCATTTAAAGAAATGAAAATGTCCCATTCTCTTCCAAAATGCATCAAGTATGAGTGACTGTAGATCACCAAGTTGAACTTCCTTAGGTACAGATGTGTAACTTGAGACCTAGAAGAGTTAGTTTCTAAGTTGTACAGCAAGTTAACGTTAAGACTAAGGACAGGACCCCTGGTCCTTAGATTCATTTTTATGCAGTACAATTGTGTCCTGGGATCTCATGTAACCTCCCTCCTCTCTAATATCACCACTATCATCATCACCATGGAACTCATTGGAAAATAACCATCTATTGCTTTAAGTATCAACTATACATATTTTTTCATTATAACTCAAGAAGCTGTCTCAATCCCACACAAAAACTGTTCTACAAATGGGGGTCCCTACGCCCAAATCTCTTGCAACATTCTGAATTTACTACTGTTATGGCAATTCTCTCCCTATATTCCAGCAATGTAACAACTGTGACTTTGAGGCAGAACAGGAATTTAGCAGAGAGGCTGCAGTCCCTCCCTGACCCATAACTGAAAAAAAACTTCTGTGCATATTCCAGAACAATATGATGCAAACTCTATTAGTTTAGACCCTTTATCTCACTAACCCAGTGGGCACAGTTGATTTTAAAACTTCTCCTATGTTGCTTAACTAACAGGGATATTATTACCCTATGATCTTACTAAGCAAACCTAGTCAGAATCATCCAAGACCCCATCTGTAAACCCCTGTCCTCTGTTGTTAAACAAATCTGGTCAGAAACTTTTCAGGACCCCATTTGTGAATGAACGCCTTCCCCTACAAATTATGCAAGTATTTACATCAACAGCCTTAAAACCCAAAGCAAAACTCTCTCTTGAATTTGCCTGCAGTAACTGTTGAGTGTCCATGTTCACCTGCAATGAAACTTCACTTCTAACACACAGGCTCTTACTACCTCAAGATCTCTTTCCTGAGCAAAAGTCAAGAACCTCTAGGGTCCCTCAATAACTCGGGGCTCCAGCAACTCTATGAATTCAGTTCCCTTTAAAGGCAGCCCCTATCTCTACCAGATTCTCATTACAACTTCCCTGAGTCTCAGCCCTACAACACTCCCAGCTTCCTCCAGTCCTCTACAACTTGTTCCTCTGTGACACTCACTGAATGTAAATTTTGAACCCAAGAGTTCAGGCTCCAAGATCCTGTTGCCCAAGCAACTCTGTTTACAGGATTACTGGTCATCCTTTTACAGGCTAGCATGCAGTTCTGATTTCTAGGAATTAATATATTCAGTTTCCCAGGAAACTCATCATGAATCATTTCCATGCAATTGATTTCACCAATTTCCACTTATTTATTCTTGTCACACTAGTGATTACAGATAACAGCTTTGTTCTTCCCCAACCTTAAGTCCCATATTTTTTTATTAGTCTCACCTCAGCACTATTGATAGATTGTCAAACATCTTTTAGGTATCAGTCAGTTCTCAAATAATGTTCATTCAGCTTTGCTCTGAGAGGTTTCATCATGAACAAATGTCCTATTATATATTTTCAAGGAGAATGCAATCATTCATATGCTAGTCTATAATAAGGAAATTTAAAAATGATTTTTAAAAATAAGGTTCTTGTTTCTCTGAACTTAAATCTAGCAAGGTAAATAATTATTTAATTACATCAGTGAGTAAAGCTGTAAATGAACAGTTTCTCAACAGAGAAGTACATTTATCAAGAAGATGTCA